CAAACTATGGACAAAGTCTCAATGAATTTACAACTTCTAGAAGAGAAATTCTCAGAGGAAAAGGAGGAAAGAAGACTGTCTTTAGCAAAAAAAAAAATGTGCATGAAAGGTTCAAACAGCACTCGCTCGTGCAGACACACACACACACACACACACACACACACACACACACACACTCCCACCACAACCCCATCCCCCAGCACCAATCCTGTAACTTATTAACTGGTATGGTTTTTGTTTTTCTTTTATTCTGAGTTTCTGGTGAAGTGACTTTCACACTCAGAAGTGAAAGATACTGAAAATCCAGGCAGAATGAGGCACTTAAATTAATAACTTTAGTAAGTGAAGCATCCAAGACCTACCTATGAAGGACCCCAAAAGCTTTAGCCACTTCTTCAAACTAAACTAGATGTACATTAGTTCCCAGGGACAGAAGTGAACTGAAAACTCAGGGGAAACAGGAAGATTTTCTTTTTGCCAAGGAAAATAAAAACTTTTTGATATCAATTTGACCTAAAATGAACTGCCATGTGACTATTTCCAAAGGAAGATGAATTATGAGTCAAGTTCTCTATAAGCTAAAGAAGGAGCCCATGATTTCCCTGAAAAGCAATGATTACAAATCTACAAATCACAAGTCAAAGTTGAGTACTGTTGAGAAACATACATGATCCTGATCAACACTCCTCCATTAATCAGGGCTAATACCAATGCTAGATTTATTTGAGCCACACTAAGGAAAAACCTTTCCAATGGGACCACAGGACCTAATTTTCTTTTCATCCTCCTTCGTTGTTGACCAATCACTCTATGACTTTTTTTTAAAAAAAAATTCCTAGATGAAAAGCTTGACTTTAAAAAAGGTTTGGTCAAACTAAGTTTTGATTTATTTTTTTCTTTTATTTTATTTATTTATTTATTTATTTTGAGAGAGAGAGAGAATTTTAATTTTGGTTTTTTGTTTTTTTTTTTAGTTTTCAGCGGACACAACATCTTTGTTTGTATTTTTTTCTTTTAAATGACTCATTTTCCCTTTTAATCTATTAAATATTATTTGTATATGGCATCGTGAATCAGTTCTTTTTATTTTAATTTTTATGATACCTCCTTCCATTTAAACTACTTTTTATCAGCATTTGTTTGTTGACTATGCCCTATACATATATATGCACTCTTTAATTTATGCATGTATTTTTGTTTCTCTGTTTCTTTTATATTTAGGCTTTAATTAATCATTCACCTCTGTATTTTATTTCCTACTTCCCTATGTTGTTTTCCTCAGTCTTTACAAAGCCTCCTATATTTCCCCACAATCACTGATTCCACTTACATTCTCTCTCCCATCTCATAGTGATGTGTTTGATTTGTCTCTATACATGCATGTATCCTGGTAAAATATGTATTTTTAATTTTAATAATTGTACAATGATGTAGATCACCCTGCTGCTTATTTTTTCAGGAATTTATTTATATTACTGTATTAATAGTCCATTTGCTTCCAATTTCTACAGAGTGTACCATTGTGCATATTCACATGTGGTAGAACCAACACTCTGAAAATGAAAATACAGTTTGCCTCTGACATCCTTTCGCCACAAAAAGTGCAATGATTAACATCTTTATGCTTGTCTTCTTAAGCCCAAGGACTGGAATCCCTAGGTTCTACCCAATTTTAATTTAGCCAGAAAGCTTTCCATTGTATCAGTGAATCCTACCTGCCCCCATGTCTGCCATTTTGGGGTGATATTTACTTTTCCAATAAAAAATAAGTAATATTTCATGCCTGTTTAAGTGATCACTTTTGAACCTTTAATAAACATTTTCAGATTTTCTACTGTAACACTACTATGAAATGTTGATTCTGAGAATTTAATAAGCATTTCTCAGATTTTCTAAGTTTGAGCATCTCTCCATATACTTGTCAGCCATTTAGGAAACCACTTCTGTAATCTGCTATTGTATACTCTTTGACCAATTTTCTGTTGGTTTAAAGCTTTACATTTTCAATTATCAAGATTTTTTATCCATTATAAGAGTGACCCCTTGTCAGTTATCCCCTGTATGATTATCCCTTTTAATCAGCTTCTACATTCTATTAACTTTATATTTAATGTACTTCATTGAAAAGAAATTCTTTATTTTGATATAATTAAAACCACCAACTTTTGCTTATAGTTGATGACATTTGAGATTTTGAAAGGCTTTTCTTCCACTGTTTAGTTCACAAAGATATACTATATTAGCTCATTAATTGAAAATTTTCATTTTTTACATTTATATCCATAATCCATCTAGTTTCAAATTTTATGTATGCATGATGACCCAAATGTCTAATTTTGTCTCTTTGGTAACCCAAACTCTAATTTAATCTCTTTTTTTATATAAAAGAAATTTTTCTAACATTATCTACTAAATTTTCACTCCATCACTGCTTTGCCTTCACAATTTTATCTAGCTCCCATATGTACATGTGTCTCTATCTATGATCTCTTTTCTTTAACCTTGGATTATTTCAATGTACTTGCACTATTATTACACTATTTCTATTATTGGGGCTTTGTAGTGTAACCCAAATATAGATTCTCCCTTATTTTTCTTTTATAAAATTGATTGTATGTGTTAAATTGTGTACTTTTATTCTTCCATACAACTTTTTAAATGAGTACTTACATTCCTTAAAATAAAAAACTTGGGTACGTTATGAATGGACTCAATTGGGTGCACAGACTAATGGGGTTGGCAGGGGCAGACTATTGCATTTTTATCCCATCTATTAATAAGTTATACCTTCACAATTATTCATAGTTTGTTATTCTCTATATCATAATTTTAAAGGATTTATTGAAATATCTCATTCAGACTTTAAAAGGTCCAGGGGCTTTATACTTTTATTATTTTTATTACATTTATTATATTATATTATATATAATATATATATTATATTATTATTCTAATCATTTATTTATAAATGTAAAAAGAACTGTTGATTTTTCCATTGGTCTTATAGCCATAAATTTTACTAATTTTTCTCCCTAGTTCATATAGATTTTTAGCCTTTATTTAACATTACTTCTGTTATTTTCCTGTCTAATGATTTTTTACCAGAAACTGCTAAGTCTATGTTAAATGGAGGCCGTAAGAATGGACATTCTAACCTTGTAACAGATATTAATAAGAATGAATTAGCTCTCTCCATTAATTATTAGCAAATAGTAATTTGATATGGGCTTTCTTTCAAATTTAGAAAGTTACCTTCTGCTTTGTGAACTTCAGATAAATTATATGAAAATTATGAACTGAACTTCACTAAATATGTTTTCACATCTCCAAAATCATAACATTTTTATTCAGGTTTTTTATACCATGATTTGCAGTGATAGTTACCAAATATTTAAGGAAGGGCACTCTATGTCCCACAAAATAGCAATCCTATCTCTTTAGAAATGTATGTGGCAGAGGGTTACCAAAACGCAAACACTATTTTATTATCATTGAAATTATTTAAAATACAGATTTTGATATTAATTCTTACTTATTTCACTGGGAAGTTTTTCACCTATGACCTTGGAATTCTCCTTAAAAAAAAAAACAGAAGTGTAAATAAGAATCTGAAAGAATAGTGCTTTCTTCTCACTTGAAAAACAAGTAAAACTGCCAATACTGGTTTTCTAAACTGTCCTTTTTGGGTTTTATACAGGTTATATTCCTGTGTGGATTTTCTTTACCAAAAATAATGACTCGATGTCAGTGACATTATTAAATGTATATTTTTTTAATAAAAGCACAATCATTATAGATGATCCTCACCTGATAGTTCTTGCATGAGGTGTAAATAAACAAATTAGAGAAGCCTACAATATATAATGTTACCTTTCTTTACCAAAAATAAAATTGTCTTTTTAAATAATTTCAATTTATTCCAATTTTGAAAAATACTTGTTTAAACATAAAAGCCCTTGTTACATTGAAGAAGAGAGTAGATAAATGTAAATATTTGTTATTTTTTTCAAGGAAGGTACTTTCCTCAATGAGATTTCTCAAAGAGGTTATATGTTACAATCACTCCTCACCAGCAGACAGACTAAGATTAGAATGGTACTCAGTCACACGGACAATACTATTATTTTGATGGGATCTAAGCAATTTTTGTCTTTGTGGGTCCTTTTTTCCATTAAAAAGTTAAAAGTTATATTTTATTTCTGTATCAGTATAAAGATATATATTAATACTATGTGCTAAAACTTAAAAGGTCACTTTTTCTTCAGCTTTTAAAACATTTTCCTAGGCTCCTCACCATATGACGGGCTTGCTGCATTGACAGCCTTGTGTTAATATTTCAAATAGATGTAAGATTCTGTTGGGTAATATAAATGATTTAAGACCAATTAAGCACAACATGTTCATTAGCAACCTATATTCACCTCCAGTGACCAGAGACAAGAGAGTGAGGAGAGTACTTTGGCAGAAGAAGAGACATGCTTTAAAGACTACGGGTCAGTTGTAACAACTTCATGATGGAAACAGCTTCAGTATTTTCAAAAATCCTCATTTATTTGGAGCCAAGCTAGAAGTACAGATGTTTAACCATAGCTGATGATTTTAAAATATTGACCTCTAATTCACATTTTAAACACAATGCAGGCACCCAATGCCAAACCAAGCACAGCTGTCTGCAGAATCCAGGCTGTCAGCTACTGCTTTTCAAGAGGCAGAACTTGTAGAAATGACAAGACAATGGTTTGGGATCCAAAGATCCTGTCTCTTAAGTCTGAGAAAGTCAGGTTGGGATCCTCAATGTAGTGAGCCAGATTTATAGTAAAAAAAGAAAAAGAAAAAAAAAAAGGAAGAAATCCCCAGAGTTACGCTGTTGCACCCAAATACAAAATTGCAGTAACACAGACTATGATTCTTTAAAAAAAAAAAAAAAAAAGCTCTTTCAGATATTGTATTAACAGATTTCTGTTCTATCATCCACAGAGTTCTGTTGGAGAAAGCATAACATGGAAAGAATCAATGATTCTGTGTTGACAGAATTTGTCTTGGTGGGGCTTTCTGCCCACCCAAAACTCCAGACAGTTTTCTTTGTGCTAGTTTTGTGGATGTACGTGATAATCCTGCTTGGAAATGGAGTCCTCATCTCAGTGATCATCTATGATTTTCACCTACACACCCCTATGTATTTCTTCCTCTGTAATCTTTCCTTCCTGGACATTTGCTACACAAGTTCTTCTGTCCCACTGATTCTTGACAGCTTTCTGACTTTAAGGAAAAAAGTTTCCTTCCCTGGGTGCATGGTGCAAATGTTCCTCTCCTTTGCCATGGGAGCCACAGAATGTGTACTTCTAGGCGTGATGGCACTTGACCGCTATGTGGCCATCTGCTATCCACTGAGGTACTCTGCCATCATGACCAAAGGTGTCTATGTGCCCATGGCAGCTGGATCATGGGTCACTGGACTTGTTGACTCCATGATACAGACATGTCTAGCAATACAATTACCGTTTTGTACTAATAATGTCATTCACCATTTTGTCTGTGAAATTCTGGCTGTATTGAAACTGGCCTGTGCTGATATTTCAATCAATGTGATCAGCATGGCAGGGTCAAATCTGATTGTCCTAGTTATTCCACTGCTAGTTATTTTGATCTCTTACATTTTTATTGTTGCTACCATTCTGAGGATCCCTTCCACTGAGGGAAAACGTAAGGCCTTCTCCACCTGCTCAGCCCACCTGACAGTGGTGATTATATTCTATGGAACCATCTTCTTCATGTATGCAAAGCCCAAGGCTAAAACTTCCACTAGTACAGATAATCAAGACATCATTGAGGCTCTCATCTCCCTCTTCTATGGAGTAATGACCCCCATGCTCAATCCTCTCATCTATAGTCTGAGGAACAAGGATGTAAAGGCTGCTGTTAAGAATATGCTGAGTAGGAAAAATTTCTGATGAAATATGAATACTAATTTTTACTATATGACTTAGTATTCAAAGTAGCTACAGACTCAAAATTCAGAAACAGAAAATTACCACATGAAAACAAATTTACCATGTATCATTCAAAACCATGTGATAGCAATATTTTAATAGCTGTTATACAATTTTTTTGTACTAACTATAGAAATGAGTCATGCTCCTTGTTTAAAACCTAATTACTACAGAAATGCAAATTGTTGAAAATCTCTTAGGAATAGTCAGCAAAAAGAAATCACTCTTCAACATTGAGAAAATAATAATAACCAAAGACATCCTAAAAAAACACTCTGTAACCTATAATAGGCACTTTATTAGTAAGCAAAGTAAATATTAAATGGCATATATATTTTGCATTCATTTTTAATTCGTTCACTTATTATTATTTGTTAACCACAAATATAAGCACCCTGAGGATAGTATTTATTAACCTCCAGCATCCCAAGGACCTGTAACAAAGCCTGGAACATAATAAATGCCCAATAAATATTTTTAAATAAATACCTGATGTATAAAACCAGAAATGTGTGTCTGTCACAGCTGAGGTTGCAAATGTTATTCAAGAAGAAAATATGAAATATTCTGAATAAATACTCTTGGCGTTTTGTCACAAACATTTATTAATAGCTAACATATTACCTTTTATTTTCTTTGTTATAACACACAGGAATTATACATATGTGCTTACCATCTACCATAACTTTTCCAGGCTTTGGTATATAATGAGACCACAATAGATGAAAAAGTTCCCTAATAATGGATCCTAAGATTTAAATTAATAAAATGCAGATGACATAGTGGCAAAGTATTTCTGCTGGATTTTTGAAAAGAGTTCAGGTTGGAAGAAGGATTTCTTTTCTGCTCTTCACTGGATCACACAGCTTCTAAGCTAGTAGAACTACACAGAACCCAACTGACAAATATCACAATACAATAATAAGTGGCATGAATGATTAGGTCGAATTGTTTGAAGGACTGAGGAGCTAAAGGGTTTGGAGCATTGGGGGATAGACAGAGATGGCCCAAAATTGAGATTATTTACTGAAGAGTACAGCCAGGTGGGGCAGCCCTCATGTTTACAGAGGAAGCCCCACTTAAACTCACAAAATTGAGTCTGATGTGGTCAACAGAGAAAAACACTCCCTTTTCCCAGCTCTTTTAAGAGTCTGAGGTAATTGAATAGGACATTAATATAAATTGAAAGACAATGGATTCTTCTAAGTTGTAACAGTTAGCCTATCATAACACCTTCTTCTCTTGCTAACAGATAATAATTGTTATATTATAATATTAAACAAGTTAATTTATGAACATCACTTAATAGTGCCTGGAAAAACTTAAATGTACACTCCCAATTCATTATTTTATAACTTTAAGTGTTGAATATAATTAATTAGGTCCTAGTCTTTGAACTGGCACAAGATTTTCAACCTCACTTTTTACGGAACAATTTTGATGCCATTAAACTATTGTCTCTGAGCTTCAAATAGACTTTTCTATCTTCTACTTTGTAATTTAGGATTAGCCACTGAGAACCTCATTTCTCCCTTGATATCCAGCTTCCATTAGACTTCTCCAGAAGAACACTAGAAGGAGAATAGAATGTTGAATGAAGATAAAGGAGTTGCACCCCTCAGTAACTTGCTTCCTGCTCCTGTCAGCAGCTTTGGTTCTTCACCATGGCAATTAGGTGCTTCCAATATTACTTTTAGATCTATTTCTTTTTCTCCATTCCCCACACCCAGCAGGCTCTGTCTCCTCAGAGCCTACTATCACTTGCTTTTACATGTAGTAAAGTAAGAGTCCTGCCACAGTTTTATGTTCTCTTATAGTATCTTTAAAAGCAATAATATATAAAATGATCTGCTTGAGAGATGTAGCAAGTCAGAACATACAAAATAGATTGTCTCAGGAGACTAAGGCAGGAGCATCAGGACTTCAAAGCCAGCCTCAGCAAAAGAAAGGCACTAAGCAACTCAGTGAGATCCTGTCTCTAAATAAAATAAAAAACAGGGGTAGGAATATGGCCCTGAGTTCAATTCCCTGAACGTAAAAAATAAATTAATTAATTACGTAGATTGCTCTGTCATTTCCAAACCCAACTAAACAACAGAAGTTACTGAGAAAGATACTGCATTTCTTCTGCTTGCTTTCTTGTTTCTAAAATGGAACTTATGAAAGTCACTTTAATAAACTATAAAAAGGCATAATCATAATAACCATATAATTATATGATAATCAGAACTTCAGAGAATAGCAAGACACTGCTAAGTTTACCAACAAATACATAATGGGAGTAGCATAAGGGGATGAGCAGAAGAAAATGTTATATTTGATGAAACATTAGCCTTCACATATAAGAGGCTCAACAAACTTCAAGATAAATTCAAAGAGATCCACAGTCAGGCACATCATAATTAAAATACTGAAAAATAAAAAGAAAAGAAAAGAAAATATCTCATAAGCATTAAGAGAAAACGGGCTCGTCATATACCAGAGAATCACTATCAGATTAAATGCTGACTTCTCATGAAATAATAACTTGTCATTATTTGATAAGAAGTTAGTAGGATAACACAAAACCTAGAAGAAAAACAAAACACACCATTACTCATGTCTATCAAGAAAAACTGTATTTCAAAAATAAAGGCAAAATAAACAGGTTGCCTAGTAAACCAAACTGACATGATTCTTTATAACCAAACCCATTTTCCAAAATACTAAAGCAAGTTCTTCAGGTGAAAAAGAAATAATACTAAATAGTAGTTCAAATATACATAGAAAAGAATTTTTAAAATTTAGTTTAAAATAAAACAGTTTTAAAATTTAAAAAAAATTGTAAATGCTTCATCAGTTCATTTGGTTGGTTGTCTAAAGCTTTCTTGCAAATCCTGAATGTGCCTATCAGTTCATTTTGGAGTGGGGAAGGAAGGTATTTAAGAGAAACATGATTATGGTAGATATATAATATTTATTTTAAAAGGATAGAGTGTTTTATTTTAATCTGTATGTTTACAAGAGACAGATCTATCACATAAGAAAAAATAAGATGAAATAAAATATGGAAAATGTATATATTAGGCAAATTAACCAGTTGCTAATTTTCTATATTAATGTGACAAAGTAGATTTAAGACCAAAAAAAACATTATTAGAGATACAAGGGGTAGTTACATTAAAATAAAATTTTCATTTAACCAGAAAGGTGTATAAATTCAAGCTTTATTTCTCTAATAAAAGAGCTTTAGTGTGTAAAAGAAAACTTGATATAACTATACATTTCTCTCGGGTACTGGAAGAACAGACACACAAAGATTTATAATGATGTAAAATATTTGAACAAAAAATTAACAAGCTTCAACCCAACTATTATAGAATGTACATTCTTTTAAGGCACATGTAGAACATATGCAAAAATTGATATTACGTTAGGCAGCAGGTAAGATTCAGCAAATTTTAAAGAAATGATATTAACTAGGCCATGTTCTTTTTCTTACATATGATTAAAGAGTTAATACAAAATTTCCATTACCTGAGACTATTAAAACAAAATTCCAAATAACTAATGAATAGCAGTGATATTCAGATCCCTTAATGATTGTATAGCCAGGGCTCAAATAAATCAAAATGAAAGCCTGCCATAAATACCCAATGTGGCCTTAGTAACTGTGCCAGCTAAATATTGTTCCTTATACAGATCAGAGAAAACAGTAATAGATGGATAGATACATACATAGATAGAAAGAGATATTATATATATAAATATTTGTGTGTGTGTATCAACCAAAATATTAAAACATCAAAAAATATAGCTACTATATTTGTTGTATAGTAATGTCTATTCTGAGTGGTTTGTAACTATGTTACCATCTCTGTAAAATATTTTCATCATCCATTCTGCCAAAAAATCAAATGTAATTGAATAATACATGTTAAAATTTACTGGAAACATAAAAGTGTTTTCAGCAGGCAATGTTCATACTCCTTATAGAAAATTTGACTTTATAGAGCAGAGAGAAGAAAACAATCCTCAAAGTAACAATGAGAATGCACTATCTAGAGAATTTAAATTCAGGCCACAAGGCCAGGCATTATGTGCTATAAGTCACAGGACATTATTTCTTATTACATTTTTAAATATTAAAAGATATATCTTCTTATGCACAATTCAAGGATGAAGAAACTAAGACTCACATAAGTTAAGACAGGTTTAGTAATATAACTAGGTTTCTTTCCTCTAGAGGCCTACTGGTCAGGAAGGAAATATCCTATAGTCTAATTGCACCAAAGTGTGGGAAGATAACCCAAAAGTATGTAAATTCATGGAAAATGCTACCCCAAATGGAATTACTTTCATCAGGGCAAAGAAAGAGAGAGAGCATTTTTAAATGGAGCCTCCTGATCATCTGACAGGCTACATTTAGATAGGCCTATAGCTATAATCAGAAGTTGATCATTAGGTATGGACTCATGAACTTGGATGTCTGCCTATATTAATCATTGCAAGTTTTTTCCTTCTTAAGCCTAAGCTCTTTGTTCTCTCTCTGAAACACATCTTCAGTTTTACTCAGATTTTTGTCTCCTGAATTGTAATTCTGAAGACACTAAATTGTTCTTTTGTACTTCACAGTCTTAATATTGATTACTAATCAACAGTTGTTAGAGGTAAGATGAGTTACAAAATCCCAATTGGATTTTACCTTGGCATTTTTTCAAAGCTGTTAATGTGTAATTGGGTGAATTTAAGAGACTATGATGACCAAGTACTGTGATAACTGAATGACTGTAGCAAAGGCCATGAACAAATATGAATAATTTTACATTTTCTTGATCCCAGTACTATAATATCCTCCTTTACCTTCACTCACAGGTAATTTACAGTAAATATTGGCACCAAGGATTTTAACAAACCATAAAACTGCTAAATAAACTTAAGATCATGGGCTTTCAGTGTGATACACTACAGGGAAGATAAAAAGGT